AGACCGTTTTTAGTATTGAAACCCATGGCTTTGATGATTCTCCATTTTCACAAATCCCAGCAAACCCCCATACTATGTTTTTTTTAAATAATCTTCCGTAAACCGACATAGATGTGGAAACCCCGCCATTTGCAGATCATTTTTCCTGGGAAACAATGGGTGTTCCACATCCATGTGAGTTTACCCCAGGCTGTATACTGTATACTTAGATTTGACACTGGTTTAAAGAAACCCATACTATGTTGTTTAATCCTACATCAACTTTCATATTTACATGTGTCAGCATCTCTACACAAACTCACACACTGGTGACATATATATATATCACACACACACACATATATATATATGTGTGTGTATTGATATCAGGTGCAGATATGTAGCCATTAAAACTGCTACGATGTTTTGAATTGAGGACACAAAGTATGGGGAATGATGCAGTCTTCAGATTCACATAATTGGTTGTTACTAGTCTCGTCATATATTATCGTCTATTTCTTGTTGACAATTCTCAAGTGGTCCTGTTTTCAAAAATGATGCCGCTTTCTGAGGTGTTTCAAAGAATGAGAACTGAGAGAACCATGTATCATGTATTATCATGTATTATCCATGTATTATCATGTATTATCATGTATTATCATGTATTATCCATGTATTATCATGTATTATCATGTATTATCATGTATTATCCATGTATTATCATGTCATGTAGCTGTTGACCCTACTAGGTCCCAGTCAGGTTTCGTTTGCTTCACCAGTGGCCGAAAAATCCAGGCCGTCGCCTGCTCCGAAAGATTTGGCACCTCCACGCCGCGCGTCTGTCACAAACAAAGAGGCCAGCTGGTCATGGCCTCCATAGCTGACCAGCACTGGGGTTCTTTGAATCAGCATGGATTCTTTGGTTTTGGTTTTTTTCAAGGTTTTTTTCAAGATGTTGAAACCCTAAATTGTGAATTTTTAGATGTTGAAGTTAACAAGGATGGGAAAAGCTGCCGATTGATCGACATAGTGTGTGTTAGATACTGTTAGATCTGATGATTTGTAAGCCTGGAAGGGGCTATTGGTCTCAAATCTATTTTCATTTAGGTTCAACAAGATGCCTATCAAGGCATTTGAACCTGCATAGATTCCCGGCTGAAAATTCTAGTTACTGCACAGAGGACATCCCCCACTTCAAAGTCGGTTGGATATGTATGTACATACATATACATATGCATATGCATATGCATATGCATATGCATATACATATACATATATATTATATACACATACGATATTTGTTCTGATATATCCACCATAAATCCCAATGAGTTGTAAACCTCACTGGGACTCAAGGTAGCTATCTCTGTTTGCAAGAGCTAGCATCACCCCGACCTTGGCAGGTTGTACAGGAAGCTGCTGCGCGAGATTCCAATAATTTCATGTTGAACCCAGAGGATCTGCAGGTTGGCAAGGTCACGTCCGGGGTGAGCCCGTCATTGGGGAACCTGTAGATGCCCAGGAAGGCTGTGTTTTTTACTGGTTGGCATCTGTGGTTTAGGGGGTGTTATAAGCCCAGGGTGGTGAGTTGTGGTGTAAATCATCCTGAAATGCCAAAGCTATGCTCATCAGGGTGTTTTGACGTGTTAGAGTTTTTGGTGCCGAAAGTTCGTCCAAATTGTACCCAACGCCAATTTCTACGCAGAACTGGGGTTGTTTGCCAAATTGCCTACTTCCAAATCTTCCAATCCGAATGATCAGCAGAAACTTATTTTATAGATTGGTGATTCAGCAGGTTCTGTTGATTTGCAATATGTTGATTGATCCAATTTGATCCACATGTTTGTTGTTCACATACATAGTTTTATAGATTGATTCTCGGTTTTGCTGGTTGAAAATGCCTCCCTCACCAGTTGAGATGGGGTTTTGCTGGTTGGAAATCCATTTCAGTGATGCCTAGGGGCAGGATGTGAGCCATTTTTCGGCTCATCCTGGCACTTCGAGGCATCAAAATCACTTCAGTTAAGAATGGAGTTCCCCTGAGAAAGCGGAGAATCCCAGATATAAGTGGTATGTTATTTTTAAGTCTATAAACATAAACTATCTATGATTTATATTATCACATATAATTATATATATATATATTTATGTTCTATGCTATAAATTCCTAGATTCCCTGTGGTTATAGGTGGTTGCTGCCTGGCCCACAGAGCTAGCGCCAGGTCTTAGGCTCGGGTGGCTTCGGGGCGGTGTACCGTGGCACGTTCCGTGGAGAAGAGGCGGAGTCCGGCGGAGAATCACCAGTGAAATATGGGGTCTTGGAGTGTGCCTCATATAAATGGGTTATAAATGGGTTATTTTCTAGAAGATGCGGGAAGCGATTCATGGGAAAATGTCATAAAATGTCTAGAGTCCCAGAGCTTCCTGATTCTGGTCCCGATTCTGGGACCATGGGTGAACAGATTAACAGGCAAATTGGGCAGAATATGACGCATACCTGATTTCATAGATGGCACCAGTACGTAGTTGCAGAACATAGAACAACCTTGGGATCAGGAAGCCAATTTACCAGTGCTGGGCGCGCAGCATAGTGTTGTGATAGGTTGCCATCAAAAAGCTGCACCTCGTTGATGGACAGGCCAGGAATTTGGGACTTCGCCCCGCTCCCCACGGAATTTCAACGTACATGTGAGCGCCGTGAAATCTCTGTGACCTCTTGCCAATACTCACAACACTTCAGATGCAATATGTGATATGTAAATATTAATGTAATATGTATATGATGTATATGCAATAGATTGCAATAGCTGATATGTAATATGGTGTGGACATGTGACATGTATGTTTTTACTACTGCGTTTACAGTTGTTACCCGCTTTCTGCCTGGGACTCGATTGACATTTCCCTGGGAAGCTGCATTTTTGTTTGGTCTAGTTCATCGATGTTCATCGTCTCATTGTCCCTTTTTCTTTGTCAAAATTGGAAAACCTGGATAACCCCTGTATATGATGTATATATGGCAATCTCAACGAGTCAAATCATGCTAGTCATGGAAAGTTACGGCAAGTTCTATGGGAATTTGATGATTTTTGAGGTGCCTGTGATGGAACCAGCACTGGTTGGCAGCCCTACCCTTCAAAGATGTGTGTTGCATGCCCCTAGGTTACAAACGCATTGGCATCCTGAATTGCCGCAAAAAGGATCCTTTGGGATTTTGGAATACGAACCACTACAGAACTACATTTATATAGGTGATGCATGGTGATGCATCCTTAGGACTATGGACTAATACACCCATCGGAATCCTTGGGACTATGGACTAATATCACCTGGTTTCCATGATTCGACTCAGGTGAGTCCTGAACAGCTGGAGGAGTTCAAGAAAGAGGCCGTTCCGCGGCCGTTCCGCGGCCGTTCCGCGGCCGTTCCGCGGCCGTTCCCCAAATAAGGATAGCCTCCGGTATCATCAAGCGTGGCAATGAAAAATGCTATCTTAATGGAAGCTTTGATGGAAAAAACATCTATAGAATTCTGCAAATATAAGATATATATATATATATAAGTAGGGAATTGTCCATTGCCAATGTCATAAATCATGAACCAACCATATTTTGATGATCTATACCACCCATAAAAATGGTAAGCCATTGGGGGATGGTGGATCCTTTTGCTTTCCGAACATTACAATGGGACCACAATTTGGGCCTCACTATGCCTGGTGAACCCAGGTGTTGTCAAACCGTTTGATCCAAAGGGTGTTATGATGATCCCAAATGGCTCGTGAATAGCTCCACCACCTGTGTTCTGATGTTGTCCCACTTGTGGTCCTGGTCAAAGGTTTGCAATCTCCAAGCTCTTCGTCACCCGCGGCTGGTGAGTTTCATAGGTGCCATGGAGCCCACGGGGTGGTGGTGAAACATGGTGAAACTCGTTGCCCGCTGGTGTTTATTGCCCCCCAACCTGCACTGCAGAGGTTGCGCACTGAAGATACCATCCCTGATGATTGCTTGGGCCCTGGTGGGATCCACCATTTGAGGAGATGATTTGCAGTGGAAAACTCTGACCAACTTCACCCACCACAAGACCTGGATTACTACAGGATACTACGGGCAACTCGACCACAAGTGGATCAAGTGAGAGCTGACCGTCCATTTTGTTCCATGGCAAATTGTGCCCCTAGGTGACTGAGTACATGCCAAATGGGTTCCGGCCTCAATAGCGGAACTGCGTCAAAGAATTAGGTGGCTTTGTGCTGTGTGAGGCTCAATACTTGGGTAGCACCTGGACCCCACATGGCTTTCATTCTTGGGCTTTGCCGTCCATTTTCGAAATCATTTTTGGGCAATAGGCAGCAAGAAGCCGGGAGTTGACACTCACACCATGAACGGAAGGAAGTAAAAACCCTGGATCGTGACGCGTTTGCGGATGCTGCATGCTTGATTTGCATTGTCTGAAGCAGGGCCAAGATTGTTGGTGGCTTCATTGTTATATCCTATGCCAGTCCTGTTTGAGAATGTTTGGAATGATGCACATATTTCATTCGACCCGCCACAATTTGCCAGCCCCGCGACTATCGCCCAGGTCTCTGTATGAGGCTTTGCATCAACGCAAGTTGGGGCCTTCTCAGATTCTCAGGTTGGACGTCTGTGTCAACTTAGGCATTGGGGCGCACATAGTCATAGGCCTAAACAATCCAGGTTTGGGGTGGTAAATTTTGCAAGCCGCGGCCGCATCATCCCCAAAAATGACGAGATGCGATTCCAAGACCCCGCCTGGTGCTGTAGATGATTACTACTTGTAGCAGTTCAAAACTGAGGATCCCAAAGGCGTATAAAACTGGAGGATTCCTCACAAAAAACTCCAAAATCTCTTGGAACCCAGTCAGCTTTGTGAAACTCTATAGATTACATACTATAGAAATATATTAAAATGCCCAAATTGTCCACAGATTTCATCAGATTTCTATAAATTTCTGTTGGAACAGCTAAATTTTGCCGCAGCTTCCCACGATGGGCCGAACCGTTCTACCTCCTCGGGCGCGGCTCATGGCATGTCGCGGCTGTCGGTTGGCCATGGTCGTGGCATCCTTCACAGGTGGAGCCGTGGATAACCGTGGTGGCCGTGGTGTATTCATTCATAATCCATGGTTACCTATGTATTGATAATCCATACATGGTTTATTGATGTTTATTGAGTTATATGATACTCCATGATACTCCCCAAATAGTGATCATATGTGATCATCATTGATGGTATGATACGCAAAAAAAAGAACTTAACACCGAGCCAGACGGCATTATTGAGAGATGTTCCAAGTTTCGAGGGGAAATGAATGAACATTATAATATATGATGAACCTGTTGATTTTGAATGATTTTGATAGCTGCTTAGCACAGGGAAAATGATGATTCAATGGAATGAGCTATCCTATTTTGCGCCAAACCCGGAAGATGGTCTTGGGTCTAGAAAATGCGGGAAATCAGGGATCGTGGGGAAGAGGGTCGAGATTTAGACAATGTGCTTTTGGCTTGGTTTTATTGAGCAACTGAAACGGTTTGCCAACAATAAATTTTATACGGTTCACACTTCAGTCGTTTGGATTGGAGCTAGTCCTTCAAGTCCCAATGAAACATCATTGAGGCCGTAAATTAGCGGGGCAAAAACATAATTAAAGGGATTTGCACCATATAGTGCAAATTTTCCTGACCGGTCTTGAGCATTCTCTAGCTCCAGAGATTATCCCAGCAGCATTAGCTCGAAAATTCACCCACAAGCGCTGCCTCAGGCCTTTCCTCTGCCTTCACAGCTAGCGCGAGAGGCCTTGTGGAAGCACACAAGGCGATACCTCCTGCAGCACAGGTGGGACAAGCCCAGGGAAGCTGCGAGAGCTTGTCAAACAGGCAACCTAGAGGTCAATGAGGCTCATGACATGCAAGTTTGGATCACTTTCTTTTGACAGAAATGTCAAGAGAACACGACACCCAACACATTGACTCACAATGACTCTCAATGACTCACATATCTGGATATATGTATATACATAGGATTACATATGTATATATATATATGCATATATATATATGCATACATATATAGTATATTAAATACATGTATATACATGTATATATGGTTGCAATTAAGTGATCTGGTGTTGTTCGGATCCGTGGCACATGTTCATCCAGTTTGGGACAACCAAGCGTCTCACTCTGTGCCAGGAGTTCTCCTGCAAAGGTTCATTATGCTTCACCAAGACGCAGCTCCCAGAGACCGGGAAATCCGTCAGGGCACGTATACCGCTGTCAGCTGCTGAAACCCAGGCGCCGTTTTGAACCGTTGGGGGAGCTCTTTCGCCATAGTGACATAGTCACATAGTGCTCTGTGTCAGAGGAAGTTCATCAAGCCATGACATGTGGGAACCATTGACTAGATGACTGGGGTGTGGTTCCCTAGATTGATTGAAGCATATTTGTAGTGCATTTTTGGCACTGACTAAGCACAGGTTCATCATGGTTCATCATTCCACTTACGCTGCCACATGGGCGCCGCAGGTCGCAGCCTTTGGCATTGCGGCCTTATCCTCCTTCTTCAATGGATCCTTTCCAGCTTGCCAGCGGATACCCAGGGGGCCACCCTTGGACCCAGTGCTGTTCAACTGCTTGGTCTGTGTGGGTGTGTTCTTCTCATCCCTGCTGATCCCATTAGTGTTCAACCAGGACTGGATTGCACCACGGTGAGGGCCATTCATACCTTCACGACTGGTAGAGCTGGTAGGGCCTGGTAAACGCCATCACTGCGGGTGAGCTGACTGCAGATGCCAGATGTTGCATTGATCCAAGAAGGAGTCCAGTGGTCACTTCAATCCCTCAGACTTTTCTGATGAAGACCGTCCGATAGATTTGATGCGTCATTTACTTTGCAGCTGTATATGCATTTTGGGATTGGTTGCTGAAAACCTCTGAGATCAAAGACATGAGCCCCATTGAGCCCCAAAACATGTGTCAGGCAGGAAGAAAAAAGAAACTTGCAGACACCTATGACCTATATAGATATACAGACCCATTTTGCACAGGAGAATCCCACAGTTCATTGACAAGAAACAATTCTATTTGTGCTGTTTTGTTCTCCAGTTGTCATTTTACCCCCAAGCAATCTATATATATATATATTTCAAATTATTTCAGTATTTTATAATATGTTGCCGTTTTATGATATGTTTTATCCACATCGATTTTTCGGGCTCACATACGCAGGATGTGGTCTTTACGCTTCCCGGCGTCCTGGGCGGTGTTCTCTTCGTCTTTGCCGCGCTCTTTAGTTTCGTGGCGATCCCCAGAGCTGGCCTGGCGACCGCACAGGCAGTTTGGTCCCTCGAAACCGAAACCGCGATGAAAAATGGACGTTGGGCTCCTGACATTTCACTTGTAGCTATGGAAAAATGGCCCAGAGACATGAGATAATTTATGATAATTTGCCTGTTTAAAATTGAGATGTTCTAATATGTTCTATAATTATAGCTATCTTAAATTACCAACGGAGAAGAGCCTTATAGTATAGAGAACTTATCTCCTTCCAAACCCAGTATCATTAACAAATATTCAGTATCCAATGTTCCAGCCATTTGCTTACCCACTGGTATATCCCAGTTTGGGCTGGTCATCTCATATGTGCTAGTGACAGACAAGCTACATGTCTGTTGGTCGAATCCCCCTCTTTGGACGGTTGCTGTCCATCCTTTCTTTGTCAAGTTTGTAACTATTCATGTAAGTTTTTCCGTCAGGTTGAAATGACATCTTTGTTGGTTACCTGATGTTACCTTCATTTGTTTTGATTGCTCAAAACCTTGGTGCTGATTGAATATAATATGCATATTATATTTATATATAAATTCAATAAAAACTGCCTTCGTTTTGCTCGCTGAGATCTGCATGTGTTCCTTCAAAACACGGGTTCAAGGTTCAAGTCCAAAATTCTAGGTCCCCCAATCCGATCATTCCTCGATCTTCAACACTATTTTCTGCTGAAAAATTGCATGTGCCTATTCAACTGAGGGTCTAAGTCTAGTACACTATGAGATTTATTATAATTCCTTCATGAAGTCAAATTATAGGTAGTGTTCGTTCATTTTCTCAAAAGAACTATGTTTGGGTATGGTTAAACCTTTGGCCCCGTAATTTTTTCAGCATTCAACCCCAAATGTACAATTTACATGTGGTGTATTTGTTTGTTTCAAAACGGTACTCATCAACCAACAGTCAACTGGTGTTTCGGGTGGTCTGAGTTACTGATATTACTGGTCCCCTGATGATATTTCATACAAACCACCAGTTAACCGATACCCAGCGCTTGAACATGTTTGATTTCTATGTCTATGTAATTGATTTCTATGTCTATGTAAATGTATGTATTATATATATATATATATGGTCGTACATATTTTAGTGGTCAACCATTGGTTGGAGATGGTTGGAGCAAAAACAAAACATAAACAAATCACGGGTCCAGTAATCCTAATGCCATGCCCATGCGTGTGAGAAAAACAAACAAGACGATAACATATCACAACCGTTAGTTAGAGTAAGCACAGTACATATCAATAGATATGCACGCATGCATATATATATATTACCAAACATAATTATATCGAATTATGGTATACCATGTAGTTTATTTGGAAAAAGCATTCTCAATCTTAGTACTAGTTATTTGTTTTCAATGAGGGTAAATGATATATATATATGCCATGTAAGTGTCATTTCATCGGATGACAATCCATGAATGTTCACCATCATCCCATTCGATCCCCATGAAATCATTGAAAAAATTCCAGGTCGATCCATCGGCCCCAGGTCCTGCTCAGCCATCCTGGTCTCCTTCCTCTGGGGCGCCATCGGTCCCGCCGAAGTCGCAGCACCGCTGGGAGATGTCACCGCCACCGTGGGGGCGGTGCTGCTGCTGGTGGCAGGTAGAAGCTGGGAGAAGGGGAGATGGGGATCTGGGAATGCTATTGTTGGATCATGTTGGATCTTTAATGGACTGTTGCTGATGATTTAATGAGATTTACTTGTGATTTAAGTGTGATTTAATGGGGTCCAATGGTGATTGAGTGGCATTGAATGGTGATTCACTGGTGATTGTTGGGATTTAATGGCAGTTCTTGGGACGATTGAAATTGATCTCAAGTTTTTCATTACGATTTAACAGTGTCCAAATGGTGATACAGCAGTCATTTAAATGGAAAGACAGGAAATCATCTATAGGTATGTAACTCAGGGGCTAATGATTCGGAAACACCATCAATGATTTGAATTTAAGGGAACAATCAGAACCGAAAGCCATTGAGTATCTACCCCGAAATGATTCTATTTCGTTCCACATTCCCTTCAACCAAGTCTGGAAATAGCCCAAGTGCTCCGTTGGGCCGGAATCTTTCCCAACATTTTGGACCCAGTCTGGGCAGGTGATGTTAGATGGCTGGTGTTTTCACAGGAGATAAGGCTATGAATCATTATTCAATGGTAATACAGTAATGGGGGGGAATTCACAACAATAAACCGTTCTCAATTTGAGGTTTATTACTATTATTACAATCTTGATCACGTGTTTGCATGTGTGTGCCCTATTCCGTTCACATGTTGTTGATTGTATTCCATTGTAGCAACCTTTAAACAGACGCAGGAAATTCAAATCACTTTCTGGATCAGTTCCAAGGGAAAACCCATGGATTTCCATAGCTAGTCGTGTGTTTACTGGAGGATGTTTGTTGATCTTCCCTGGTATATGTCACCAATGATTTTCCTCATTGATTATAGTTGTTTTTTTCCATTATGGATGATTAAGAAGGCTGTTTTCCATAGAAATGATGGAGCCATTACAATGCGTCATGGATTCAAATCACCATTCACAGCTTAAGATATTTAAGATTTCTTTTATTAATGCAAAATATACATTGGTCACCCCCATTACTGTATATAGTTACAATTTGCAATGTTGTTTTTTTTGCACTAATCATTCGCACCATATATGAATTTCACTGGCTCTGTGACTCTATTTTCTTATATTTGTTCCTTTGGGGGGATGTTGCTATATTACGTGTACATTCATTATTGCATATTATTGTAATTTATCGTTAATTACGTTTGCCATTATTTATTAGATACGAGTAAAATACTAGAATGTATTTATATAGTAGCAATGTTCATCCATCTATGGCAATCTCTTTATATATGATACACATCACATAACCTACAATCCTAATAATTAAGTATGAATATTTTATAGTAATATAAACATAAACTTTAAACATAACATAGTTTTATATAATGTATTAATACCCTTTGGTAACTTAAGTACCAAAGCTATGGTAATTTACCATGTTGAATAGGTACCTGATCGAACTATATGGGTGATGTTCCACAGCTATGTAAAATTACCAAAAAGTATCGATATGTATTATCCATTGTATATATCCATTATATAATAATATAGTACCTTTAATTTTTATTGAAAACAGTATATAGGTCATATCCATTGTTGTAGTTATTATAGTATCATTGATATACGAATTATCCATCAATATGTCATACATATAATTTACTGGATGATATATCCCCTGCTATTCCCATTGTTGTTGGTGAAATCCCCAGAAATCCCAGTATTTCACAATGTTTCCTTATTTCCATTAATCATATAATACCACTAGTTTATATTGGATATATAGATAATTGTCATTGTATGTGTTTTGTATGCATGGTTAATGGCCTAATATTTTCAATGATATACTACTGATGCGTACAAGCAATACATTTATTTTTATATTATTCATCCATTAATCATCCATTAATCCATTATATAATATAATCATCATAATCATTCATATTAGTTCATTAGTATTGCATATGGATGACTATGATGATTACGGTTTATTCCTAATCCATTAATCCATGCAGATCGTTGATGGCTGCAAGTCATCGCCAGTTCCCCAGGTGCTTTGATCATCGTGAACTGCGACAGCATCGCCGGGCGCCTCAGCGGTGGGACAACGGGCTCTGACTACATCCAGGCGGAGGCGGAGGCTGAGGCCAGCGCCGGTGAGACTCGTTCTGCAACACCGGCAGGGGAAAATGGCCCTGTTTTTATTGGTAGGTTTTAAGGGGATTTCATGATGATTCTAATGATTTTCATGGGATTTAATGGGATCTCTATGGGATTTAGTGGTATAATGGGGTTGTATTCCAATCTAGTGGTGATTTAATGATGATTTTATGGGATTTACCCAGCCGACTTGAAATGAGTTATATAGATACGGATAGATCGCATGGAACTGGGATTTTGCCAGTCAATTTTTATGGCGATTTATGGGATTTCACTGGGATGGAATGAGATACAACAACCAAAAAAATACAAGTAACCTTCAATTAACCAACTCGATGTGATAGTTGGGTGTGTCGGAAAATGGGAACATCCCAGTGAATTCTGGTTAATTTACGACTATCTATGGGATAAAACACTTACAAGGTGGTGCCCCATAGTTGACTGGACTAACTAGGGTTTAGGGTGGTTAGTTAAAACTCGAGTTAGATGGGGTTCTACGCCAACTTATAGCTGGGGGGCACCACCCTGTAATAGGCTACAACCATTTGGATTGGGACCATCCTCGAAGCGGACAGTTCCCATGAAGACATCTTAAGTGCCGGCGGGACTCTAAAACACTAAGGTTGTTTCAGTACATAGTCTAATGTTAGATGATTTGGGGTTATCCCTAATTCAGGAAACACCCAAAAAGTCCAGTATTTTTTTTGTGACCCAGGAGTGCGTAGATGTCCTAATTTTTCACATCACCCAATTATTGTGTTTGGTTTGAATCTCCACCAGATACTGTTTCAAATGATGTTCAAAATGCCCCAAAATCATGTCAAAACATGAGATTTACCAACCCTCACAACCTAATGAGATGATATCAATGCCAACCCCTGATGATTAACATATCATGTGATAACAAAAATGAGGATCGGACCGCCGGAATCGCATCAGCCCTGGCGGTGGGGCTCTTCGGTGGATCCGTTTTGGCACCTTGCCGGCAAGGTGGAAACAAAAATCGGCGCTGGTTGGATCAACACCTAATATATAAAGGGAATATATGATGTTGCACAATGGTATATTCACTTAGTGGTATCTTGTGATTTATGGATATGATTTGGGGATGAGCCACAACCTATGATATCAGATTGTTGGGGGAATGAACATGTATTTGCAAGTCATTTCATTTTGGTGTGAACATGTGTGAACAGCAGGGTACAAGGGTTTTGACCTATATATATTTTTCCCCACCTGCCAGGTGAGGGTTGTTAGATTTTATGTCAGTTGCCTCCTCGTCCTCCTTCTCCTCCTCCTCCTTCTCCTCGTCCTCCTCCTCTCCTCCTCCTCGTCGTCCTCGTCGTCCTCGTCGTCCTTGCTCAACTGCGACTCGCGATCCACAGTGTTCTCTGCCGGACCTCAACCACGACCATCCACGCCCAGTGTTCCCTGCCGGACCTCAACCACGACCAGCCACGCCCAGTGTTCCCTGCCGGACCTCAACCACGACCATCCACGCCCAGTGTTCCCTGCCGGACCTCAACCACGACCATACACGCCCAGTGTTCCCTGCCGGACCTCAACCACGACCATCCGCGCCAAGTGTTTCCTGCCGGACCTCAACCGCGAGTATCCATGCCAAGTGTTCCCTGCCGGACCTCATGTAGGAATGTCAGATAGACTGCCAGATAGAATGCCAGATAGAATGTCAGATAGGATGCCAGATAGAATGCCAGATAGAATGTCAGATAGGATGCCAGATAGAATGCCAGATAGAATGCCAGAAAGAATGCCAGAAAGAATGCCAGATAGAATGCCAGATAGGATGCCAGATAGAATGCCAGATAGAATGCCAGAAAGAATGCCGCCAGATAGACTGCCAGATAGAATGTCAGATAGAATGTCAGAATATATGTCAGATATAATGCCAGATAGAATGCCAACATATATGCCAGAATATATGTCAGATAGAATGCCAAAATATATGTCAGATATAATGCCAGATAGAATGCCAGAATATATGCCAGAATATATGTCAGATATAATGCCAGATAGAATGCCAACATATTTGCCAGAATATATGTCAGATAGAATGCCAAAATATATGTCAGATATAATGCCAGATAGAATGCCAGAATATATGCCAGAATATATGTCAGATAGAATGCCAGAATATATGTCAGAATAAATGACAGGTAGAATGCCAGAATATATGTCAGATGAAATGTCAGAAAAAATGTCAGATAGAATGCCAGATAGACTGCCAGATAGAACGCCAGGTGGAATGTCAGGATATATGCCAGATAGAATGCCAGAATATATGCCAGAATATATGTCAGATAGGATGTCAGAATATACTAAATATATGTCCAAATATACGTCCTGACATGTCATGGTGGGGATCACACGAAGTAGAGTAATTATAGGTATAATATTTATATATCAAGTTGCTGTGCTTACTGCGTTGTTCTGGCACCAAGTCGAAATGGCTACTGTTGGGTGTGAAACATGTTGAAGAACCTAAAGGATGCCTTTTCAGTCACAAATCGGACCCTCAATTCTGCATTCCCTGCTCCTAAGCTGGCAAATTTGATGCATCCGGCGATGCTCATACCAACTTGGGGCCGTATTGCTTTTTGAAACAACAGCATGGGTTTTTTCCGGTTTTCCAGTTGACGTGGTGAATTTTGCCTGAAGTTCAGAAACTACTGAGGTTCCTTTCAAGTACATTCCACCAGATGTTGCCGGTCTGGCAGCCATTCCATCCTTCGGCTTTGGAGCTTTGATAGCTGGCGTTATGGTCACTTTTGCGCACCTTGGGCGCAAGACAAGGATGCTGAATGGCCAGTTGCCGCAGGGAGAACTAGTAGAACAGCTATCAGATTATCCCGGTGGGTTTAGTTTGGTTTGTTGGATATTTTTGGTACACTCAATTACACGGAGGGTACATCGTATCCTCACAACGCAAGTCGGCCAAGACATGTACAGGTTGCATCATTTTGTCTTGAAATCACTTCGTTGTGGGTTAAGGCGGCAAAGAAGCACTGTACCTCCCTGGATTTGAGATTGAAAGCTGAGCCAGGCATCAGTTATCACGATCAATTGTCTAACCAAAACACACTGATGTTGGGGTACCTCAAAACAACCATTTTGATAGGAACACCGGTGATTAGGCGTTATTTGTAGATATATATATATATTACTATATATATATTACTATATATATATTATACTATATATATATATAGGCATCAAATTTCGGGCTACCATATTTTTTCCAAGCAACCATCACTTTTGCAACCATCAAAACTGCATAGCTTGGCAGTTGGCAGCTTCCTGGCTACCGTTATCCCCACTCCAACGGATCATCATCTGAGGGTTATCCCAATAAGAATCCCATGAAACTCCACTTAGTCCCATGTTCATGCATACCCACACATCATATTGGTTATAAAATGTTATAAAATGTTATAAACAGGTTAACCTCCAATACTATTCCATGTAACCACCAAAAAAAAACATTATATAGACCACATAAAATCCCACTAAACCTCAGTAAACTACATTAAACGACTTGAAACCCCTTTATAAATCCCATTGTGGAGTCCCATTCAACAGTAAACCCGCGACTTGGTCGAGGTATTGGAAGGGGATCCAGAAGGAGCCCGGTTTCCCTCAGCTCAGTTTGGACCAGATCGGTGCGGGCTTGGCCAGCGGCTTGCTCTGGAACGCTGGCACCTTGGAGACAATCTCGGCGTAATGTTTGTCATTATAAGGGGTTAAACTATATAGAGAGAGAGAGAGAAGGAAACTCAAATTTATGTTTTCATTCATGATTGTATGTTGTTTGAATTGCCAATGTAATGATGTAATATAACTACTGCAGGATATGTGCATCGTGTTCTGCAGATGGTGCCAAGCTGCGAAGTCAGCAGAACCACCACCCGTGCCACAGGTAATGTTTGCTCAGTCATAGCTCAAAGCCCACCCTTTTCGCTGCCCTACGGGGTGGCTTATCCCATCCTCCAGTGTGCCTTGTTCTTTGGTGGCTTGTGGGGCATCTATGTGTTCAAAGAGATCACTGGCAACTCCATCGGCGTCTTCTGGGGAGGAGCGGGAGCGGTCCAATGCAGGTTACGGGAGTGTCCCTGGGTCCAATCTGTCGCCTCGCTACACCTCCAGTGATCATTCGTGCTCGCAGGAGCCCTCACACTCGTTGCCGGTGTTGTCTTGTTGGGTCTTTATGGCCCAGGGGCTGGCTGAGAGTGGCAGGATGACTGCACGTGTTGCAGATATAATATTTAAATCATGGTGGACATCCAAGTGGGCTAAACAGCTAGACATTGAAGAGTGCTCAAAGGCACCCTGTTTCTTGAGACATCAACAGAAAACAGCCCTCTGACAGGGACAAAGCAGAAACGATCCACCAAGGTACCAGGAGACGGCCAGGGGTTTTCGCATAATTTTGACATGAAGAAAGGTCCTTTCTTTCCCTGTCAGGTGTGAAATGGTGAGAATCGTTGCAATACAACTTTAAAATGACACCAAGAGTTGGCTCAAATCCTTCATTGGTGACATTGGTGGCCTTCACAAATGCATCACATTTTGCGCTTTCCCGTGTAAAGATTCGACCGAAGCTGTTCCCAGCCGAATAAAAAAGGCGGCTGCATCCGGAGAAAAATGGCAAGGCTTGGCCCATTGGAAACCAGACCAGACCCATTTGTTTTTTTCTTTCTCCGAAAATGGGGGATACATCAATCTCCCGCCTCAAGGTTGAAGATCGAACACGAGAGGCGTCACCACATCGCCAAGCAGGCCACTGGCGCACTGGCCACAAGCATCGATTGAAAGGGGATGAAATGGTGACTCTTGGCATGTGTAGGAAATCATTGAGTTGAGGGTGTTTCCTCGACCTGCTTGACCTGCAGTTTCCCGCTGCCAAGTTTTCCTCACAGCAACTAAAGAAAAACAATTTTCTTGTGGTTCATGCAGATACTGTGGTTGAAATCCATTCAAATCAACTGAAATGAAAACATAGTTCCACTCTTTTTTAATAAGTTTAATACAAGTAGCACCGCACAAGGCGGTGGCGGAAGTTTCAAAAATAGGAAACCTATAGGAGAGATTGGTTGTTGTGAATCAGGGATGGCAGAGCGAAGCCACTGATGGACTGAAAGGTGGTTGAGGTCTCCTCTCTTTCTCTCTCTTTCTTGACTATCTACCTACCTACCTATTATAGTATGTATTTATCATCTATCTAAATTCGTCTATTATCGCGTCTGTCGTATTGTTGATCTACGATCTATCTATCTATCTATCTCTCTCTCTCTCTCCCACTTCCTGGCTAGTGCTACCTGTTATCTGGTCATCTATCTACTGTCTACTGTCTATCTGTGGTGGCAGTGTCATGAGTGTAATGTAGTGTAGTGAATGTAGCGTGGTTGTGTGTAGTTGTAGTGTAGTGGAGTGTAGTGTAATGTAGTTTAGTGTAGTGGAAGGTAGTGCAGTGTAGTGTAATGTAGTGTAGTGGAGTGTAGTGTAATGTAGTGTAGTGTAGTGTAATTTAGTGTAGTGGAGTGTAGTGGAGTGTAGTTGTGTAGTTGTAGTGTAGTGGAGTGTAGTGTAGTGGAGGGTAGTGAAGTGTAGTGGAAGGTAGTGTAGTGTAGTGTAATGTAGTGTAGTGGAGTGTAGTGTAATGTAGTGTAGTGTAATTTAGCGTAGTGGAGTGCAGTGTACTTTAGTGTAGTGGAGTGCAATTTAGTGTAGTGGAGTGTAGTTGTGTAGTTGTAGTTGTAGTTGTAGTTGTAGTGTGATGGAGTGTAGTGTAGTGTAAGGTAGTGAAGTGTAGTGGAGGATAGTGTAGTGGAGTGTAGTGGAGTGTAGTGTAATGTACTGTAGTGTAATTTAGTGTAGTGGAAGGGTAGTGAAGTGTAGTGGAAGGTAGTGGTAGTGTAAGTAGTGTAGTGGAGGTGTGTAGGTAAAGTAGTGTAGTGTAATTTAGTGTAGTGGAGTGTAGTGGAGTGTAGTGGAGTGTAGTGGAGTGTAGTTGTGTAGTTGTAGTTGTAGTGTAGTGGAGTGTAGTGTAGTGTAATGTAGTGTAATCTAGTGAAGCGAAGCGAAGCGACATCTGAACCGCCAAAAGTGGTCCGAACCCCTAGTGTTTTTAACATTTTGACTTCGAAATGTGCTCCGCGCCACAATGGCGTGCACTTTTTCGACATCTGAACCTCTAAAAGTGGTCCGAACCTTTAGTGTTTTTAACATTTTGACTTCGACATGTGCTTCGCGCCACAACGGCGTGCACTTTTTCGACATCTCAACCTCCAAAAGTGGTCCGGAGCTGGTGTGGTTTGTACATTTTGACTTCGAAATGTGCTTCGCGCCACAACGGCGTGCACTTTTTCGACATCTCAACTTCCAAAAGTGGTCCGAGAATGGTGTGTTTTGTACATTTTGACTTCGAAATGTGCTTCGTGCCACAACGGCGTGCACTTTTTCGACATCTCAACTGCCAAAAGTGGTCCGGAGCTGGTGTGTTTTGTACATTTTGACTTCGAAATGTGCTTCGCGCCACAACGGTGTGCACTTTTTCTACATCTCAACTGCCAAAAGTGGTCCGCACCTGGTTTGTTTTGTACATTTTGACTTGGCAATGTGCTTCGCGCCACAACGACGTGCAATTGTTCATCTCTCATCTGGCCAGCTGGCTCCGCACCCGCCGCTTTAGCGAGCCTACTTTTGAAAAACACAGTGTTTCGCGACTTTCCTACCTTTTCACGCATCTGCATCTTCTTTCTTCTTACTCTTCTTTCTTCTAATCTTTCTCTTCTCTCTGCCTCTTCCCTGCTCTGCTTTTCATTTGTCCATATTGTCGGAAGTTTGACTTCTAAACTTGCTTCGATAATGTTGTTAAGTCCATTTCAGTTCAATCCATCCATTCCGCCCATTCTCCACGGATTCTTGGGTGAGTTCTCCAGCAGTCATCCGCGTTCAAAGCGCCAGGTCTCAGAGGGCGTGCCTTGGCTCAATGGGAAAATTGGAAGGAATAGACGCGCATCGTGATGCAGATAGTCGTGCAGTGTATACCTTGCAATATATATATATATATATATGCACATCATGATGATGATGATGATGATATACATATATATATATATACATATATATATATATGTGTGTGTGTGGTATATACTCTTTTTTTGCCGGGCAAAATGTAGGATATGCAGGTACGAGATGTATATCTATATTTCCGTATAGCTCTGCAGGCATATGTGAAGACATCTCATAAGGATGATAGGCGTCAGCCGAGTAGGGATGCAGCCACGGCTCAGGTGACTTTCCTTCACAGCAAGACTCCTCCCTTTGTCCACCGTGACCTAAAGAGTATGAACGCTGGGATTCTCAGGGCTGGCCATGGCTGTGAAATCACGAAATCTGATTTACCATTTAGGGTTATGACTCACATACCATCTGGAAAACCCTTATAAATGGAGGTTTGAATGGGAAAATCATCTATAAATGGGCCATTTTCCATGGCTATGTTAAATAACCAGAGGGTATTCATATTTATTTAACTTATTCTATCGGAACTAATCCATTCGGTGGACTGCAAGCGCCATGGTCGTTTGAAGGTTGAGCTACGAGATTATCACAGCTCAGCTCGTCTCCCACGATCATGATGTCATGGCACATGTGGGTTTGTCTAAGAAAAGGCTTCCCTCAAAATCGGGCTGAGAAGATCATATAAATCATGGTTTTTCCATGTTTTCCTATTCAATGTGCTACTGTATTCTTTTGGGGGGCCATCCCAAAAAATGGTTGGACCCTGTTGGAGGTCATCATGGATTATGAGCTCAACGCCAAGCTTTGTGACTTTGGGCTGACGCAGGCCCAGCGCAGGAGCCAAGATTTCTTTGAATCCAAGCGGATTCTCCTCGCATTGGCGTGTGTTGACATATGTTGAGAAATTGATTTGGAGACTTATTCATTATCATTCAGCTGAGTTTGCTTCCTTCCTGCCTCGGGATGCACTTTAGGGCAAAGAAATCACAGAAAGCCCCGAACAGGTTGGATCCCAAGTTTGCATCAGAATCGTAAATCTTGATCAAAATTGCCTCAGTGAACCTTGGCTTATAATGCATCAAAGTTATTCTAATTAATGTGGTGTTCAAAATTGTGTTCAAATGCCCATTGTGGCTGAAATCACTTCAATATTCTTACATACTACATCTTGTATGGTTAAATCATGTCATATGTATAACATATATATCCCATAGTTGATGCTTAAATCTTGTGAATTCCGCAGTTTTGAATGGTTTAAATCCCCCAAAGCTCCGCATTGCGCTAGTCTATGGAGAAGACCCACATCAGCAGGACACCTCAGAAGGACATGGAGATAGCATGAATATCAACGGGATTGAACGGGTTTATATCATGGGAGATCCACCGAACCCAAAGCATCTACTATCTATCGGGTTTCCATTCATGTGGATACCTCAATAGCTGGATGGTTTATTTCATAAAATTTAGAAAACTAAAATGGATCATTTGGGGTGCCACCATTTTAGGAAATATACATACATACATACATACATGCATGCATGCATGTGCATGCATGCATGCATGCACGCATGCATACATACA